CCCAAAGCCCCAGTAGATAGTTGTATGTCACAGTTGCACATCCTTCTAGTTGCTGTATGTGGGACACGGCCTCAGCATGGCCGGAGAAGCGGTGCGATGGTGCACATCCGGGATCCGAACCCAGGCCACCAGCAGCGGAGCGCGCGCACTTAACCGCTAAGCCACGGGGCCGGCCCATATGTGCGTTCAGAGTCCAAACCCAGTAGTCTGGTTCCTCCTTCATTGTACAGGTAAATTATCTCAGACGCAGAGACGTAGGGACTGGATGTCCCTGGTCACACCTGCTGTCCCAGTGAAATTAATAACCCTCCCTTCACTCTCCAAAGTTACAGATTGGGTGATAAATTATATCAGAAGTCCACCAGCTTTTTCTTTAAAGGACCAGATTGTGCATATTTTAGGTTTTGCAGGTCATACCGTCTGTCACCACTGCTCACCTCTGCTGTTGCACCATGAAAGCAGCCATAAAAAAACTTAAATACGGGCCAGCCCCGTGGCATATGGGTTAAGTTCACGCGCTCCACTTCGGCAGCCCAGGGTTTGCAGGTTCGGATCCCGGGCACGGACTAACACATGGCTTGTCAAAGCCATGCTGTGGCGGCGTCCCACATACAAAATAGAGGAAGATGGGCACAGTTGTTAGCTCAGGGCTAATCTTCCTCAGCAAAAAAAAAAAAAAAAACTAAAACTTAAATGAATGTGCATGGCTGTGTTCCAATAAAACTTTATTTATAAAAAAAGGCAGTAGGTGGGATCCGGCCCCTGGACTGTGGTTTGCCAGCCCCTGAATTATATAACAGGGAGAGAATGTGCCCACCCCAGGGTCACACACAAGCCAGTGGGGAGCAGGACGGTTTGTTCAGTGGGGGAGATTTCCTGCTGCCTCTCGGGGCCAGTTCCCCGGGGATCTGTCAGAGGAGAAGGCCGGCCAGAAGCTTCTGGTGTAACTGGCATTTCTGCTCTGCAGCTGCCGGAGAGGACTGCGTCCGCGTGCGCGATGGCACCTTCGCGTGGTCCCGGGAAGGCCCTCCCTGCCTGCACAGGTACAGACGGCCTCCCTGGTCACTGCCTGCCCGTGGGCGGGGAAGTAATCTGGGAGAAGAGCTTTCTGGACAGTGGGAGTAGCAAGTGCAAAGGTCCTGAGGCAGGAATATGCCTAGACTCAGGTTTCTCAGCCTCAGCACTATTGCCATTTGGGCTGGGTGATTCGTTGTCGGGGCTGTTCTGTGCATTGCAGGATGTTTAGCAGGACCCCCGGTATCTACCCACTAGATTCCAGCAGCAACTCACACCAGTTGTGACAACTAAAAATATCTCTAGATGTTGCTAGATGACACCTGGGGGGCACAGTCACCCCCAGTTGTATTTGAGAAAAGGAAGTCAGCGTGGCTGAGGCAGAGCCCCTGGGGGACAGAGCAGTAGGAGGTCGGGTGTCCTTCCTGATTGTCTGGACTTCAGCTTCTATTGGAGTGAAGTGGGAGCCACTGGAGGGCTTCAGCAGGGAGGGGTCATGATCTGACTTGGGTTTTAACAGGTGCCTCTGGCCGCTAAGTGGAGGATGGACTGCAGGACGCGGACAGGGGCGGGGGACAAGGGCAGAGGAGGGGAGAGCAGTGAGGAGCCTATTGCAGTAACCTAGACAAGAGGCCATGCTGGTTACACCCGCCTCCTCCAATAAACTGTGTGTGTGTGTGTGTGTGTATGTGCACATAAAGATGTGAGCATGCATGCGTGCACATGCACGAGTGTATGTGTTAGAGCGTGTGTTCATGTGTTTGTGTACACGTGCATGCACGTGTGTGTGCATGGGTTGTGCATACATTGTGTGTGTGCCTGCATGCACGTCAGTGTGTGTACTTGTGTTTGCACATGTATGTGGTGCGTGCGGTGTGCATCTGTATGTGTACTTTTATGATGGTGTGCGTGTGTGCGTGTGTATGTCCATGTGTGCTGTATGTGTGTGGTGTCATGCATGTGTGCATATACACAAGTGTGCTTGTGTGTGCACACGGGGCAAGATGGCTGCTCAAATAGTCAGACAAGGATGGGAAGAGGGAAGGACTGCCCCCACGTCCTCTTAGCCACCTCCTGGACGAGTCCCCAGCGGGCAAGGCTGGCTCTGCGTGGGGTTCACTGATTCTGCACAGCCTCAGGCTGGGCCCTCCCCAGGGACGCGTCTCCCCTGTGTGTTGCCAGGATAAACCTCACCGTGCCCCAGGGCTGTCTGCTGGCTGTCGTTGGTCCAGTGGGGGCAGGGAAGTCCTCCCTGCTGTCCGCCCTCCTTGGGGAGCTGTCAAAGGTGGAGGGGTCCGTGAGCATCAAGGTGAGGCCGCACCCCTGCCCGTCTGCTAGAACGTCCCCATCCTAAAAGCCATCCCTGCGCCTCCCTGCTGCTCCCTCGCAGCCCCTCGGTTCACTCTCCCCACCTTCCACGGCCCCCGCGAGCCCGGCTCCCACTCCCCCTCCAGAATCGCTCCTTCCTCCCTCTTCATCGGCCTCCTAATGGCCAGGGCGAGCTCTGTTGTAGGGTCCCGTGGCTTACGTGCCCCAGGAGGCCTGGGTCCAGCCCACGTCCGTGGTGGAGAACGTGTGCTTCAGGCAGGGGCTGGACCCGCCGTGGCTGGAGAGAGTCCTGGAGGCCTGCGCCCTGTGGCCAGACGTGGGCAGCTTCCCTGCGGGGCTCCACACCCGAATTGGGGAGCAGGTGAGGCTTGGGGGCTTCTTGGGACAGGGGCGTTGTGGCTGGGGGCCGTTTGCCTCCCTAACGTGGTGGAAGGGACGAAAGGGTGGGGGGCTGGGAACTGGGGGAAAGAAAGGGCCCAGCTTAGGGCCAGCACACACTCGCTGCTCCATAAATGGTCATTCACGAGTGAATGGTTGGAAATAGACACAAAGGCAGGGATTGGTGGTGAGGGGCTCTCCAACAACTGGGGGTGAGGCGACCTGGGCTCCCGTCCCGCCCTGCCCTGCCTCACCGAAGGGTCTGGGCAGAGGTGTCCGATAAACAGGATGTACGCGCCTGGAGCCACAGACTGGGCAGGGTCAGCAAACCATCACCCACAGGTCTAATCCGGCCCACCGTCTGTTTCTGTAAAGAAAGCTGTGTTGGGACACAGCCACGGCCGTTCATTTCCCTGTGGTCCATGGCTACTTTTGCACAAGAGGGCAGAGATGAGCAGCTGTGACAGAGACCGCGGGGCCCTGCAAAGCTTAAAATAGTTACTGTTTGGCCCTTTACGGAAAGAGGTGGCTGACCCCTGGATGAGGGAGTTGAGAGAGGACGTGCAGGCATTAAAGTTCAGGCAGTGGGTGAGGTTTCCTGGAGAGAGGAGGAGAGGGCCCAGGAGAGGGAGCGGCGCCTGCGTGGGCCGAGCCAGAAAGAGCGGCTTCGAGGAGCATCGGGGGAGGAGGGCGCGGCTTCGTGGAGGCCGAGGGGAGGGGGTTTCAGAAGGAAAGGGGTGCCCGCTGCCCTCTACGTCTGTCCCGCTGTATCACATCCTAAACCAAACGTGTGCTCTCCCGGAACCCCCTCCGCCCGCAGCCTGCCCCGTCCCGGGTGCTGGAAGCTCCATCCTTCCAGAGCTCAGATCCCAAACCTTGGTGTCATCCTTGATTCCTCTCTTTGTCTTACACCCGCATCTAATCCAGCAGCAAATCCTGCCGGGTCCACCTTCAAGCAGACCAGAATGTTCTGGTCCCATCCGCCATCGACTCTCCCTAAATTGCTGCAGCAGACCCTGACTGCCCTCCTTGATTGTCTCACCCCTGATAGGCCCATCCCAGCATGGCAGCCAGAGGGATTCTGTTCAAACACAGGTCAGATCACGTCTTTCCTCTGCTTGGAATCCTCCAGGGTCTTCCCAGTTCCCTCAGAGTCAAAGCCAAAGCCCTGATTGTCACTGACAAGGCCCCCCACAGTCGGGTCCCGGTTATCTCTCTGACCCCAACTCCCATCATGCTCCCCCTTTCCCACTTCACTCCAGCTGTATAGATCTCCACGATGTTACTTGAACACCCAAGCACACTCCTGCCTCAGGGCCTTTGCACCTGCTGTTCTTGCTGCTTGTCAAGCTCTTTCTCGGGAGTCCACAGGGCACATCCCTCACTTCCGTCAGGTCTTGACTCAAATGTCACCTCGGTGGAGAGGCCTTCCTGACCACCTTACCCAGCACAGTCACCCTGCTCATGCAGCACACCCTCCACCCCTCCCCTGTCTTATCGTTCTTCAGAGCACGTTAACACCTTCCTCTGGACGATATATTTCACTTGTTTGCTTATCGATGATCTGTCTCCCACCCCACCCTCGTTAGAGTGAAAGATCCGTGAGAGCAGGGACTGGGTTTCGTTCATGGCTGTGTCCCCAGAGCCTAGAACACTGCTGGTATATAGTAGCCACATGGTAAATATGAGTGGAATGAATGAATGAACAAATGAATGAATAAACGAAAATAAAGACTAAAAAGCTACCACTGGATTAGGCCACAGAGAAATGACTGGTGTCCTTGAGGAAGGCTATGTTGGGGGAGAAATGGGAACAGACGCCAGACTCCAGTGGAGGGAGAAGTGGGTGGGAGGCGAGAGAGTGGACGTGGAGCGTGCAGACACCTCCTCCAGGAAGCTTGGCTGGAAAGGGGAGAAGCAAGGCTGGGTGGAGGTGGGGGGATGTTGGCTTGAGAGCAAGTGTTGAAAGCTGGGAGGTGGCCCTGGGAGACACCTCACTCTGAGGAGCAGACGTGGCCCCCGTCGCCCCGGCTTCCCCCAGCAGCCGTAGACGCAGGTCCCCGTCCCTTTCTTGTGGCCACAGGGCATGAAACTCTCTGGGGGCCAGAAGCAGCGGCTGAGCCTGGCCCGGGCCGTGTACAGGAAGGCTGCTGTGTACCTGCTGGATGACCCCCTGGCGGCCCTGGATGCCCACGTCGGCCAGCACGTCTTCAACCGGGTCATCGGGCCCGGTGGGCTGCTCCGTGGGACGGTGCGTTTGGGAAAATGCGTCAGAGAGCACAGGGCCAGGCAGAGACAGCCCTTATGGTCCAGTCTGTCTCACCCCACCCTCCACGGGTCCAGTTTTCCTCTTTGTAGTGGTCAGCTTTGGCTGTGACAATGCTACGTAACAAACAACCCCTAACCTCACTGGCTCACAACAGCGGTCACTTCTTGCTTATGGGTCTGTGGTTAAACTACTACAGCTCTGCCTCAGGCCACCGGCCAGGTTCAGGGGAACTCCGTGTCTTCTGGTTTTAAGACAGCTTCAAGGAGCCCCTCTATGCCTCTATTGGGACATGCTGTTTTCTAGAAAGAAGGCAGGAGCACAAGAAGGGGAGCTCTCCCCACTCTGAGCCCAGGGACACTGCCTGCCCCCCGCCCCAGCTCTGGAGCACTGGTCAAGCACGTGAGCGTAACTTCCACCCCTTCCTGCCCAGACGCGGATTCTCGTGACCCACGCGCTCCATGTCCTGCCCCAGGCTGACCGGATCGTGGTGCTGGAAGATGGGGCCGTTGCAGAGATGGGTTCCTACCAGGAGCTTCTGCACAGGAAGGGGGCCCTGGTGGGCCTTCTGGATCGAGCCAGACACCCAGGAGCCAGAGGAGAAGGAGGTACTGGCGGGGCTTCGCTGGTTCTCTGCGCCTGCCTCTGCCACCCTTGGGGAGAAGGCTCCAAGGGTCCCGGGGGCGTGAGTGGAGCGCTCTGGCTACATCCTCCCAGCAGGCCCGGGCCTGGAGGCAGGCGGCTCTCCCAAGAGGCCACCCATGCCCCCGTAAGAGCCAGTGGCGCTGTCCACGAGCCAGGGGCTGTGCTAAGAGCTTCTATAAACATACATTGTTTCATTTGATCTTCACATCCTCCCTACGAGGCACATGGGATTGCTGCTGCCATTTTACAGATGAGCAAACTGGGGTAAAGAGCATTAAATAATTTGCCCAAGGTCACAAGATTAGAAATTGGGTGTGTTCCGCTCTGGAGTCTCTGCTCACAACTGCTACAGAGGCTGAGCAAGGTCGTTTGGTGCCAGGTGCCACATGCCAACTAGGGCTTCTGATGATCCAAAGAACACAGTGCCCGCTGGGAGAACAGCAACGTTCTGGAAGTGGAGTCACGGCTCTGAGCTCACCCCTATGAGTGATAAAGAGCAGCCGGTGGTGCCTCACTCGCATTAACTCGTTTAGTCCTCACAGTGCCCCTGTGAGGCCAGTACTGTAATTACGTCCATTTTACAGAGGGGGAAACTGAGGCCCGGAGGTGAGGAACTGGCCCGAGGTTACGTGGCTTATAAGTGGCAGTGCTGGAATTGGAACCTCGGCAACGGGACTCCGGAGCATGTGGTTTCTCATCATTAGGCTGTATACTGTCCCCCCAGGACAAAGCAAAGACCCATGGCCAGGTGCCCCCCATCCCAGGCTCTGCCTCTTCTGAAAACGTCTGTCAAGCATTGGCCCTCCCTGCTGAAAACCCTAAGTGTTGATTCACAGTGTCACCATCCGGGAACTTGGAGATGTAACCGCCCAGCCTGGGGGATGGTCGGGGGGAGGGTCCTTCCTGGGGGAGATGACACATGAGGTTGGGTGGGAGTTAGCTGTAAAGAACATTCCAGGCATAATGAACTGTTTGTGCAAGGCTGTCGGGGAACCTGGAGCATTTTGACTTTGTAGTGTTTACTGATGTTTTCCAACCCCAGGTTCATAGCAGGTGCTCACTTATGTTTGCTGAGTGAATAAATGAACGAATGAGTGAATGAATGAATAATGTTCCTTGAAGAACCCAGGGAGGATGGGGAGAGGTTGCAGGAACTAGAATCAGAGGAAATGGATGCTCGGACGAGTTAAGGCCGTACAGCCTTAACTCAAAGCAGCATCCGGACCCCGAGGTACTGAGCCCCACTGTGACAAGACTCCCTTGACCTTGCAGAAACAGAACCCACGACCAGCGCCAAGGATCCCAGAGGCTCTGCTGGAGGCGGGGGGCCTGGGGGTGGACCAGAGAGGTGAGTTTGCTGTGGTGCTGAGCACAGTGACACAGGCTGAGGCTGAAGCGGGGCTGCGGTGTCACCATCTGCACCTCAGGCAGGTAGGGGGCGGCCAAACTATTACAGATTAAGTGCCTGCTGAATACCCACCATGGTGCTCGGCTGCAGGAAATTCCCCAAAAACTGTTTGACAATCAAATGGCCAAAATGATTAAGTCCCCAAATGTCCCGTTCACGGAATGACCAAGTCACCCTCAAGCGTGATGAATGCCTTAATGTTTGTCAGTTGTCTCATTGCTGAGCGGGCCAGGGCTGGTTCCAAAGAAGGATCCTCGCCATGGTTGTTAATGACCGTGGCAGGCCCTGTCACTCATGCTTTGACAGGCTTCCTATGCAAAGAGCTTGAGTCTATACCCGCAGCATCTCTTGGTGCTGGTGAGAGCACACAGGTGGGGGGGTCACCAGGAGGAGGCCTCCTGTCCCCTTCTCTCCAGCCCCCCTAGCCAGGCTATAGCTGGACTCACTGTGGGGCTGTCTGCAGCAGAGAGACCCGGCCACCTGCTCTCCCTTTTTATGGAAAGTGACCTTGTAAAACAGAGAGCAACAGACCACTGGGCACCAGGCAGTGGGAGCTTAAGCCAGCTGTCAAGGGAGTGCAGGAGGACCTCGAAGGGCGTCGGTCCCTGGGGGGAAATTGAGGTTGGGCACAGCTCTCCGCATCCCAGCTAGCCACCCAGAGCACTCCTGAGCCACACACTGGGCAATCCCACTGTCTTCACAGTGAACAGTAATCCCAAGTTAAGATCAGATATATAGATATGGAGATACATAGATAGAGAGAAAGAGAGGATAGATGAATAGATAGATAGATAGATGGATAAACAGATGATAGATTGATAGATGGTGGATGGACAGAGGATAGGTTGATTGATAGATGAGAGGTTGATTGACAGATGATGGATATATAGATGATACAGAGATAGATAGATGTAGATAGATGAATATATAGATAGATGATAGATACATGTAGATAGGTAGATAAATGTAGATAGAGATAGGATGATAAATGATGGATGGATAAATGATAGATTGGTTGGTAGATAGATTGGTAGATGGATAGATAGATGATTTGATTGATTGATAGATGTAGATAGATGAATATATAGATAGATGATAGATACATGTAGATAGGTAGATAAATGTAGATAGAGATAGGATGATAAATGATGGATGGATAAATGATAGATTGGTTGGTAGATAGATTGGTAGATGGATAGATAGATGATTTGATTGATTGATAGATGTAGATAGATGAATATATAGATAGGTGATAGATTGATAAATGATGGATGCATAGATGGTAGATAGACAGACAGACATAGATTATCCCCATTTTACAGTTGAGGAAACTGAGGCACAGAGAAGGTAAGTCAGCTGCCCATGGTTTCACAGTTAGCAGATAGCAGTTCACATTTAACGTTAAGTCAGCCCACTCATCTGCACATGAAAGGAACATTCAGGAAGTCTTCAACATCTGAATTGTGCAAAATTGACATTCTGCCAAGCTGGAGGGTAAACAGCAGGGGCAAAATGATTGCAGTAACACTTAGGCCAAAATGAAAACCAAGTTCCAAAGTTGGGCAAATAAGTTCGTTTAGTGAAATGGCATTAGAAGAACAGGCTTGCTCAAGTCTGAGATAATAGATAGCATCTAGCTGGACACCACAGACGGAGGACGGGAGCCCTAGTCGATGCCCAATATGTTAGTTGAATGAATGAGTGAGTGGAGAGTGTACCCCAGAGCTCAGTGGCTACCAGTGGCCATGAGGGTTGGGCACACACACCCCACAGAGAGAGACACTGATTTACCTTTGTTTCCTCTAAATGACAGGTCCATGAAGTTAGTCCCTGAGAAGGACATCACCACCTCAGAGGCCCAGACGGGAGTTCCCCTAGATGACACTGAGGGGGCAGGGCGGCCAACAGGAGAGGCCAGCGTGCAGTACGGCAGGGTAACTAGCAGCTGCTCCCTCCCCTCCACATCTGCTGCTACTGCTGCCCCGGGGGCTCAAGACCTCCCACCAGACACAGCACTGGGGCAGGGGAGGGGGAGACCCATGTTTATTGAACACCTACTCTGTGCCAAGTAAGATTCTAGACACTTCATATTTCTTAATGCACACAACCACCCTCAAATTAGGTGGTGATACCTCCATTTTAGAGATGAGGAAACTGAGGTCTTAAAGAGTTGAGAGACTTGCCTGTGTTCTCATAGCTAGCAAGTGACCAACCTGGCACCCAAATCTGGGTCAGTCCAAATCTGAAGCTTGTACTATTTCTTTTCTTCTATGCTGCTTTGTCCACCCATCCACCTACCCACCCACCCACCTACCTACTCATTCCTTCATCCATCCATCCACCTTTCCACGCATTCACGCACCCGCCCACCCCACCCATCTACCAGTGGCTACCAGTGGCCATGAGGGTTGGGCCCTCATCTGTCCACCGACGCATTCACACACCCATCCATCTACACACCCACCCATCTACCCATCTTCCATCCACCCACCCACCCACCCATCCA